CTACGGTTATTCTTTGCGGAATTGAAAGCCTTCTTGTTATTCACTTGTTACATATTTACTCATCTCTTTCATTGAACCGACGTCACAAAGCTCAGCTTGATGCCAATATCAATTTCCTTTATTAGATAGCTAATGTCCTGAAAACTAATTCGTTAAATTACATAGGAATTTCTTACGCAGACTGAGGCACTTCGTACAGTCAACTGCAGGAAAATCAATAAAACAAGGTTGAAACTGCACTGCACACTCAAAACGTTTTCACAAAGCTCCGAGACCCATATTTTTTGTAGATATTTCAGAGCAAGTCCAACTACGAGTAACGGGATCGCGTGCGATACGTACCAACGAAGCCTGTAAATTTCACAAGTTAGGGTTATAGAGTGAATGGCCGATGATTCACGAGTTCACCGTAGTACAGCAGACAGCAAAACTTTGTTACAACATTCCCAAGATTGCTCAGGCTTCAGCATAGATTCTTCGAAGTTCCCAAACGCCGAGCACAATCATGCCAGGAGATTTTCTAATTGGCAGTTTGTATCCAGTTCCTTCCCTCTATTTTTTCTACGTACATCCGTCACCTCATTTGAGGTCGTCCGAGTGGTCGTTTTCTTTCCCTCGGATACCATTCGAGAATAAGAGAGATCCATCAGTTGTCATCAAGACGCGCCACGTGTCTTGCGCAACCGATTTTGTTCTCTCTCATGGGTCGCACGATGTCTTCCACGTCACTCATTTTGCGGAGAGTCTTGTTGTCGATAGGTCACGAAGGGATATTCTAGGCATCCGTCGAACCATTACTCCCTTAGTCACAGCCAGTACATTTTCTTCTGCCTTCGTAAGTGGCCACGTTTCGCATCCGTATGTCATTGCCCTCAACTCTACTCTACTAAAGAGGAGAGCACGGTCTTTCCGGTCTGATACTTGGCGGACATCGATGATATGACGATGTGAAGTGGAGAAGGTTACTGCTTGCAGATGACCTTGTTTTATTAACATCTTCTGAAAGTGATCTT